TGTCCAACTTCGGCTCAGGTCATGATCTCATGGTTCATGGGTTCAAACCTTGCATCAGGCTCTGTACTGACAGCTCAGAGCCTGGAGCCTGCTTCAGATTCTGTGTCTCCCTCTCTCTCTTCCCCTCCCCCGCTTGTGCTCTGCTCTGTCTCAACAATAAATCAAATATTTAAAAAATTAAGAAAAATAAAAGTACAATGATAATATAAAAATAAAAGTACAATGGCAATACATTTCATAAACATTTATAAAATTACACTGCTCTAATGTAGCTTTATTGTTTCCATATTTTTAAAAAATTTTTTTTTCAACGTTTTTTATTTATTTGGGACAGAGAGAGACAGAGCATGAATGGGGGAGGGGCAGAGAGAGAGGGAGACACAGAATCAGAAACAGGCTCCAGGCTCCGAGCCATCAGTCCAGAGCCCGACGCGGGGCTCGAACTCACGGACCGCGAGATCGTGACCTGGCTGAAGTCGGACGCTTAACCGACTGCGCCACCCAGGCGCCCCTATTGTTTCCATATTTAACACATAGAACATTTTCTTAAAATAATGACAAATGTAAGTTGTTTTTTTAAACCATCACAAGCTACTTACATTCCAAATTTAGTTGGAGATGGTTTCTTTTAAAAAATTACTTTGTAGAGGTGTCTGGGTGGCTCAATTGGTTAAGCTTCTGACTCTTCATTTCAGCTCAGGTCATGATCTCAGGGTTTGTGAGTTCAGACCCACGTAGAGCTCCATGCTGTCAGTGCTTAGGATTCTCTCTCTGCCTCCGTCCCCTGCCCATCCCCCCACTTGTGTGTGCGCACCACGCACTCTCTCTCTCAAAAATAAATAAAAATAAACTTAAAAACATTACTTTGTAAAATGTGTAAACTAACCACTCATTAGGAAAAGATAGGCCCATTGGATAATTCACAAACTAGACAACCACAGATGATAAATATGAAAGCACAGTTCTCAGATCATTTTGGTCTCCTTAAAATAAATGTATATCCTTCAGCTTTAGATTATTCTCAGCTCAAAGGAAAGAAGAACTAAAGCCAAGGTCACCAAAAGCTCTTAAACCATACCAACTTTGGCATGTGGGGAATAGTATTAACACTAGACAAAATAATTTGCAATAAAGCATTCTTCACACGTTACCTCTTTGCACAAATACTTTACCAAAAATTTCAGTTTCTATCTGGGATCATTTTGCCTGAGTTTCTATAGAGAGTATTCAATTTTTTTTTAACATTTATTCATTATTGAGAGAGAGAGAGACAGAGCATGAGCATGGGAGGGGCAGAGAGAGGGGAAGACACGGACTCTGAAGCAGGCTCCAGGCTCTGAGCTGTCAGCACAGAGCCCAATGTGGGGCTTGAACTCACAAACTGCGAGATCATGACCTGAGCCGAAGTCAGATGCTTAACCAACTGAGCCACCCAGGTGCCACTATAGAGAGTATTCAGAGAAGCTATAGTGACCTAGGTGTCTTGTTCATCGCTGTATGTATACAATTTTATAGATCATCTTTCAGTAGGATTGTCAGATAAAATACAGGATAAAATACTGGATGGAACATACACTACACAATTATTCATTGTTTATCTGAAATTCAAATTTAAGTGGGCATCCTGTACGTTTATTTGCTAAATCTAGCAACCCTATCTTTCAGTTTGTCTCTTTCAGAAAATAACAAATTCACTGCCAGGAAGAGACTTTATCTCTTGAAAGCAGAGTAATTCTTTACCTTTTATGAACTTCTTGAGAACCAAACCACCATAAGTGCTTCCTGCAGAAGCAACTGTAAGAAACAGAATACAAAGAAATATCACAAATAAAACAATTAAACATATTTTATCTAAAGAATCTTATGGAAGCCTAAAAACACTGCTTATAGATACAATACGTTAAAAAGGTGACCACTATGTAACGAGTTTACTAAAAATGGAGACACCAAAGAAACATTATGAGGCTACAACAACTCTCGGGGGGGCAGAAATGAAAACCAAATGGCAAGCCTTTTCACCCATATCCAACACCAAGGCTGCTTCTTTAGCTATTACTATTCCTGAGAGAAAAGGATTATAGGAAGACTGCACACTGTAACTATTAACCAGAATATATCATGCCAATAACCCATATTCCAGTGTAAGATTCAATTTAAAAAGCTGGCCTTTCTTTGAAACAATTTACTCTTTAGTAGAAAATATTTTTTAAAAATTTAATGTTTATTTATTTTTGAGAGAGAGACAAAGCATGAGCGGGGCAGGGGCAGGGGCAGGGAGAGGGAGACACAGAATTCAAAGCAGGCTCCAGGCTCTGAGCTGTCAGCACAGAGCCTGAAGTGGGGATGGAACCCATGAATGGTGAGATCATGACCCAAGCCAAAGTTAAGACACTTACCCAACTGAGCCACCTAGGCACCCCTTTAGTAGAAAATATTAGACTATTACCTAAGAATTCTTCACACTGAGTTCTAAACTATGAATATCAGAATATTTAGAGTAATAATTAAAAAAAAATTTTTTTTAAGTAAACTCTACTCCCAATGTGGGGCTCAAATTCACAGCCCTGAGATGAAGAGTCACATGCTCTACTGAATGAGCCAGCCAGGCACCCCTAGAGCAATAATTCTTCAGAGGAAGAGGGTAAAGGAGGAAACAGGCACCTAAGAGGGGAAGAAAAGAAACCACCCAGAGACTTTTCCAAATTGAACATTACCCCTCCCCACCAGAGAGATGCGACCCACAGTTAAGAATTTAAGAATCATTGCCATAGAAATCAATGTCCCTATCCCTCAAGAAATGTGTATTCTTCAAGCAGGGTGAAAAAGTTGAGAATAATAACTACAGTGAGAGGCAACACCATTCTCTAGATGTGTGCTATCCAAATATAGTAGCCACTAGATACATGTGGCTACTTAAATTTAAATTTAGCTAAATTAAATTAAAAATAAGATTCCTCAGTCACACTAGCCATATTTCAAGTGGTCATTAGCATCATTAGTGTGGCTAATGGCTACTGTACTGAACAGCACAGATATAGAATATTTTCATCATCACAAAAAGTTCTATTGAAATGTTATTACAGCAGTGCTTTAGATTTCCAGATTTTGAATGATTCTGGACAAATGATATTTCAAAAGGCCTGGGCCCAAGTAGCATAGAACATTCAATAAAAGACAATCATTTCTTTTTTCTTCTTAACATTCCTCACAAGCATACACTGGTTCTAGCTTAAGGAGAGTTGGTCACTTGGGAGAGGGATGGCAGGTGTCAGCAGGCCTACACCAGCGATTAGCAAGGAGCTGAACATTAATAAGAAAAAAATACAACCTATATATCTCACAGTGTGTCCATGATGTTTCTCAATTGCATATGTCATACTGTCTCCTCAAACATCTTTTAGTTTTAACAAGCACCATATCAACAATCGTTGAAAATGGGTCACTTCTGGTGAATGTACTCAGAAAGCAATTATCTTGCCTGCTCCACACCCCAGCCTGCCCCCAACTTTTAGCTGTACTTCTAATGTCTCTGTACTAAAATAAAAGAGTACTAGGGGCATCTGGGGGCTCAGTTGGTTAAACATTAAGCATCCAACTTCGCCTCACATCATGTGGCAGTTCAAGCCCCACATCAGGCTCTGTGCTGACAGCTCAGAGCCTAGAGCCTGCATCAGATTCTGTGTCTCCCTCTCTCTCTGTCCCTCCCCTGCTCACACTCTGTCTCTCTCACCTTCAAAAATAAACAAACATTAAAAATATATTTTAAAAAAGAGTGTTATCCTTCAAATGCAAAGATAACAGTAGAGACTTAATTGTAAACCACATATTTTTAGAGCAACACCATTCCTAAAATTCCCTCTACAGAACAAAAGATGACATTAAAAAAAGAAGTTGTTGAGGTCAAATATATTTGAAGAATGCTGTATACTATAGCCCATTTTTTAAATTAATTTTATTTTTTTTAAATTTACATCCAAATTAGTTAGCATATAGTGCAACAATGATTTCAGGAGTAGGTTCCTTAATGCCCCTTACCCATTTAGCCCATCCCCCCCCCCACAACCCCTCCAGGAACCCTCTGTTCTCCATATTTATGAGTCTCCTATGCTTTGTCCCCCTCCCTGTTTTTATATTATTTTTGTTTCCCTTCCCTTATGTTCATCTGTTCTGTGTCTTAAAGTCCTCATATGAGTGAAGTCATATATTTGTCTTTCTCTAACTTCACTTAGCATAATACCCTCCAGTTCTATCCATGTAGTTGCAAATGGCAAGATTTCATTCTTTTTGATTGCTGAGTAATACTCCATTGTATATATATGCCACATCTTCTTTATCCATTCATCCATCGATGGACATTGGGCTCTTTCCATACTTTGGCTATTGTTGATAGTGGTGCTACAAACATTGGGGTGCATGTGTCCCTTCGAAACAGCACACCTGTATCCCTTGGATAAATACCTAGTAGTGCAATTGCTGAGCTGTAGGGTAGTTCTATTTTTAATTTTTTGAGGAACCTCCATGCTGTTCTCCAGAGTGGCTACACCAGCTTGCATTCTCATACTATAGCCCATTTAAAATATTTTTTTTTAAGTTTATTTATTTTGAGAGAGAGCGAGCAGGGGAGGGATAGAGAGAAAGAATCCCAAGCAGCTGTCAGCACGGAGCCTGATGCAGGGCTGAACCCCCAAACAACGAGATCATGACCAGAACCAAAACCAAAAGCCAGACGTCTAACCGACTGGGCCACCCAGACACCCCTACCATAGGCCGTTTTAAAAAATGTATGTATTTATTTTTGAGAGCGAGGGCATGTATGCAAGCAGGGGAGGGGCAGAGAGAGAGGGGAACAGAGGATCCAAAGTGGAGTCCATACTGACAGCAGAGAGCCAGATGAGGGTGAACTGAGAGATCATAACCTGAGTCACAGTTGAACACTTAACCAACTTGAGCCACCCAGGTACTCCTATAGCCCATTTTTAAAGATTCAGTCTACACTGTCATATCAAAGGTTCTGAGAAAATACAAAGTAATGAAACTCACTTGATTTTTTTTTTTAACGTTTATTTATTTTTTGGGACAGAGAGAAACAGAGCATGAACGGGGGAGGGGCAGAGAGAGAGGGAGACACAGAATCAGAAACAGGCTCCAGGCTCTGAGTCATCAGCCCAGAGCCCGACGCGGGGCTCGAACTCACGGACCGCGAGATCGTGACCTGGCTGAAGTCGGACGCTTAACCGACTGCGCCACCCAGGCGCCCCAAAACTCTCTTGATTTTAACCAGCATTCCACAAATTTAGAGGACTATGTAACTCCTTCCTCCTAACTCATATAAACATCTTGTAGCATGCATTAAAAAAAAAAAAAAAAC